TCCCTCCCTCTTCTTCTCTCGCTCGCTCTCTGTTTTTTCAAAAAGGATACTATCTTTTCTAAGCTGCAGGCTAGTCAGTTTCTAGACAATGACTCAATTGTACAATTGCAATAAACAAAGTAATTGGTATAAGAGAAAAAAAAATGGGCATGACTATTTTCCAATAAAACTTTATTTACAAAAACAGGAGGATAATTGTATCCTTCTCCAGTTTTTGTAAACAAGGTTTTATTTACAAACAAAACTTCATAGTTTTTTAGCATGTGGATGAGAAGAATAAACAAGGACTAACCAAATTAATGGTACCCATGACAGCATATGCAAAGGTCCTGTGGCACACAGAGCTTAAGAGGGATTAGTAGAAAGTCATGCTCTTGGCTGTTGCTGAGAAAAACACCTGGCATGTGAGTGAGGCTAGAAAGAGAGCGAGGAGCCAGCCCACCAGGGTCTTGCAGGATGATCAGGAGTTTAGTGGGCAATTCAAATCCACCAGCAGCTCTGAGGAGGTAAGGTGAGCTGTCTCCTATCGTAAAAATCTACAGCCTCAGAAACCCGTGGTCAATCTCCATGAATCAGAACCCATTCGACAACAGTCAGCTTGGCTTTGTATTAGCTGATGGTTTTGTCTGGAGGGAATTGTGTTGCTAACTTAAAGGTAGCATTTCTCTGCTGGTTCAAATCCACCAGCAGCTCCTTGAAAGAAAGATGGTTCATCTTCTCCCATGGGATTTACGGCCTCCAAAACGCCATTGAAGAATCAGCTGTGAGTTGGTTCAGCATTGGAGTTTGACTTGGGAGGATGTTCCTAAGTAGCATGATGACATGAATACATTGGGATTTCTTCTGATCACTCAACGGCAGGGATGCAGGAGAAACCAGGTTCAAGTTCCTTACCTGAAACATCACAGTCACTGATGATTACGCTTGCTCTGTGTGTCTGGGAGTCTATTGAAAGTAAATTATTCTAGATGCACTTGAAGGGGTTTTACACAAATATAAATGATGTTGAAAATACAATAATGATGTTTTACAGGAAGGAATGCTACTAGATGTTCATATACTTTTAGATCTACTCTATGAACCAAGACAGCCTGAACTCACTAAAGAAAATTTTCTGTTGATGTTGTGTAAACAAGTTTCTTTCACCAGGGCAACCACTCCGCAGGGTGCTCGGGAGAGTACTCGCTGCTCTTACTCGCTCTCACTCACTCACACTCTCTCCTCTTCTCTCTGAGACAAATGTGGGTTGTTTCCCAGGACCCAGGCCTGGCTCCACACACATGAAAATTTACCAAGGCTGAGGGCCTCCGAAGAATGAGATGGATTCTGGGGCGGCCTCCCCTGAGAAGCAGGACAAAGAAAATTTAGTAGGTAAGTCTCTTTTCCCACTTCAAGCTTGTCTTCTGTATTTTAAGCAAGGTGAAACTTGGAGCTTTCTTATGCTGGTTCCATTGCACTTTTGAACCACAATCTAGAATTTGCTTTTCTTCTTCTCCAGTTATAGACAGAGTTTGTGTATTTTTTTACTGTCCCCTCCTCCCCCCATTAAACATCAAAGTTATGCAAGCAGGGATAGGAGGCTGAAAAGGAGCTCTGGATGCTCATCTATGGAGAGGTGCACTGCTAACCCAAATAAGGTGGTTCAAATCCACCAGCCGCCCCACGAGAGAAAGGCGAGCAATCTCCCGTACAACTTACACCATCTGAAAACCTGCTGGAGGGTCAGCTGTAAATCGGTCTCACTCTGTGGCAATGAGTTTGAAGTTTGAGTTTTTATTTTTTCCCATCTTTAAATAGCATATTAAAAGGAAAGTAGGTTGAATATCAGAAGTTTAAAAGATAAAACTTAGCTGTTAGTAAAAAATAACGCCTGTGGGAGCTTCTGGTGGCCTAGTGGTAAGAGGCTACGCGGTGATCCCAAAGGCATGTGGTTCAAATCTACCAGCTGCCGGCTGCTCCATGGGAGGATGATAGACCGCCTTCCCCAGTGTGATTTACAGCCTCTGAAAACTTACTGGAGGTTCAGGCATGAGTCTTGACCGCACCCAACAGCAATAAAAGGAATACTAATAGTCAAGACGAAACCCACTGGTTTAGACTCATGGTGTCCCCCGCCCCCCCCCCAGGTCCCAAGGTTATCAATCTTTGCTAAAGGAGACAGTCTCCTTCTTCAGAGCAGGTGGTGGATTCGATGCGCACACCGTTCCGTTAGCAGCCCACCGTGTCATCCACTATGTCACCTGGGTTCCCTCTACGACTTAAGACGTATTTATTCCGGGACTTTTTTCTAAAAGTCTGTTACAAAGTATATCACTTGCATTCTCTTTCTAAATCCTGCAACACATTTTAGCTAGATTCTCTGATAATTCCATTTACTAGTGGAAAAATGCAGTGTTGGAGAGTTTAAGGATGATAATGAATGAGGAGTGTGTTTGTGTGCATGTCTTGAACGTGGTGTTAATTTGGGCTGGAGGCCTCGTCCTCCTCCCTGTTAGATGCCACGCTCTGTTGTCAAAGAAGAGTCCCTTGGTGACGCAAGTGGTTAAGTGCTCAACCTCTAGCCAGGAGTTTGGCAGCGCTGCCCAGCCAGCGGTGTCTCTGAAGGCAGACCTGTTGATCTGCATCTAGAAGATCATGCAGCCTTGAAAACCCTGTGGAGTCACTTGCTCTGTACACAGGGGGTCACCACGAGTCAGAACGGACTGTAGTGCCACCAACAGCAAAGCTGCCAAGATGTCATAATATAATGTAGACGTGAAGGGGGAAACATTTAACATTATCAATGTGTAAACAAAGAGGATCAGTTTAGGTATGTCTATCTGAACTGGAAAGGTAACCTTTCTCTTGATGAGGCCTAGGAACGGACTTGTTATTGCTCAGGTGATAGCAAACCTTGGAGACCTGGACACAGAGCCACGTGTGCTGTGCCGGCAGAGAGCTCTGCTCCCTAGAGTTTCCAGGGCTCATTTTCTGGAACCAGATCACCAGACTTTTCCACTGAGGTGCCTGTGAGTGAACTTGAACCTCCAACATTTGGGTTAATAATAAAGCAGAGATTTCAGAGTCAGCATAGCCACAGTGATATGTTGGAAACAGTAAATATTTGAAAGTGCTAACAGGCAGTGTCTCATCAAAACTACCCTTCTTTAACTTCTCTTTCCCCCCCTACTAGTTTATTTACAAAATTAGAATACATTATTTTCAAGAACAGATTCTTTCAATTTCCCTTACCCCCACCCATCAAATTGTACAACCTCATGGTTAATCCCCACTGCCCCCTGCACATCCTCATCCCTCTGCTTCCGACCTCTCCCACCCCTCTTGGATCCTTATACTTATTCTACAACAATGGTTTTATATGATATTTATCCTTATGGGACTGAGTTAGTTCACTCAGCATTGTGCTCTCCAGTCCCTCACAAGTTAGGTAATAATTTACAGAATCATTGCTCTTGCATGCTGCATACTATTCTATTGTGTGAATGTACCATAATTCATAGAGGAAGATATCAAATGGCAAACAGACACATAAAGAAATGCCCCAAATCACTGGCAATAAGAGAGATTCAAATCAAAACTACAATGAAGTACCATCTCATTTCAGTAACAGTGGCAAAGTTTAACAGAGCAGCAAGTAATAGATGTTGGAGAGGATGTGGCGAGATAGGAACTCATACATTGTTGGTGGAACTGTAAAATGGTACAACCATTCTGGAAGGCAGTTTGGTGCTTCCTTAAAAAGCTGACCATAGAAATTCCTTATGACCCTTTTTTAACTTTTCCATGATAACTTTCATGAGACAGTTTGTTGTTGTTGTGTACTGCTGAGTCAGAACTGACCCATATATGACCCTCTAGGGGGTTTTCAGAGGCAGTTAATTGCATGGGAAGAGATTGCCCACTCTTCTCTAGTGGAGCAGTGCATGGTTTCGAACAGTGTGCCTTCATGATTGCAGTGCAGCTTGCTGCCACTAGGCCACCACAGTTCCCTTGAGAAAGCTTGGCTTCCATTGTATCAGTTGGACAGATGGCATGATTGAAATGCTATGATCAGTGAAAGAGCTCATGAGTTTCCTTGGTTTTGGGTTTTTTATAGCATAGTAAAAGAACTTGAAGAACAGACAAAACTGGGCTTCTGATTTCATATGCATTGGACAGCCCACAGGAAATGCCACAAGGTTCACTTTCAGTGACTGGAGCATTGCACTTGTCTCCTCCTTCATGTCAGACACTGCTCCAGCAAGGTGATGTACAGTGCCCAGGCTTTCAGAGGTTCCCAGTAGCAGATGACTAGGGAGGCAGTGAATTACTGAGTCTCTGTCAGCACCTGAGCAGTCTCTGGCACCTCGGAAGAAACACCTGGTGACTGATTTCCAGAAAACCAGCCCTGTAGACTCTAGAAAACACAGCTGTGTGCTGATTCATGGGGTGAGTCAGTTTCAACCCAATGGCAACTACTTGGTCCTTATGCGCAAGCGTAATTCTCTTGACTGCTAACTGGAAGCTTGGAGGGTCCAGTCTACCCAGAAGTGCCTTGGAACAGCCAGGGAAATCCTGTGGGCACAGGTCTATAGAGACGCACAGGGGCTCCCCACGAGTCAGAGTACTCAGCAAATGGTTTTTCATTTTTGTTACCACCTCTAGCAAAACGTTTTCCAAGTGTACCGGCATCTCGTCCCTGGTCTTTGGAAGCCGCTGTCGTCACATCTCCAGGTTCAGCAGTATCATTTAAGTGAGTGTAGATTCGTTGATGGGGTAATATGTGTACTTCAAAAATCCTACACATCAGGCTTCTCTCCACCTTCCTCAAGATCCAGTTAAACATGTCCTGTCACAGCACTGCTTATGTTAGCCTTTAATACTTTCTCCCACCTTTTTCTTTTTTTCAAAGAGTGGAAGTTAATTATAGTCCAGATCACTTAAGTCTTGGAGATTCTTTTTAAGATTGAGTGTAGCATCGCCTAGAAAGCTTGCTTAAACACAGGTCCTGGGCGCATTCCCCGGAGCCCTCATGCTCTGGTCTTGGGGGGTAGGGGTAGAGCACAGGCCAAGAGACTGTACATGCAAGGAAGCACCAGGAGATGGGGAAGGTGCAGAACCACACCTGAGTAGCACTGTGTTTCCTTTCAAGGAGCCCTGGTGGTGCAGTGTATCAGGCTGCTAACCAGAAGATCAGCAGTTCAAGTCCACCAGCCACTCCATGGGAGAAAGATGGGTAGTCTCCTCCCTTTAAGATTTATAACTTCAGAAACCCAGTGGAGGTTACTATGAGCCAGAACCGATGGCACAGTACTGGGCGTGTTTGGTTTTTCTTCTCGGAAAGTGCCCCCTTTCCTGAAAAGGGTTTCCTGTCTGTAGAACGTGTGCATTGCTTCACAGAGAAGGGTCTGAGGGAAGATAAATTATACCAGGAAACAAAAAGATAGCGTTTTCCCTGTGACTTCACTTTAGATTTTTTGTTTGAGGCTTAAAATCCTTGATCCTCACTAGAGAAAAACCCAGGAAGTTGCCATAGTTCTATTTTACTGACTTTATCCTTGCAGAATTAGAAATAAGTAGAGAAAAAGGCTTTTTGTTTTCTTTTAATGCTGCTTCTCCAAACCCAAGGATAATGAGTTCTTGCCCTCCCCACATTGGTAGCAGCTGCCCTTTCCTGCTCTAGACGCACAGTGTGACAAGTATTTTTTTTTTGTATGTGTAACAAGTATTTTTAAACTAAAAAAAAACCAAACTGAGTTGTTGTTATTGTTAGGTGCCATCAAGCTGAGCACGACCCATAGTGACCATGCGAACAACAGATGTGAGCCCTGTTCTATCCTGCGCCATCCTCACTCTTCCTGACACACTAGAGCCCATTGCAGCAGTCACTGTCAATCCACCAAGTCGAGGGACTTCTCCTTTGTCAACCTCTATCTTTCCAAGCCTGATGTCCCTCTCTAAGGAAAACTTCTCCTAGCAACATGCCTGAAGTATGTGAGATGAAGCTTTATCATCTTTGTCTCCAAGGAGCACTCTGACTGCACCTTCTCCAAGACATGTTTGTTTGTTCTTTTGGCCGTCCATGGGATGTTTAGTACTCTTCTCCAATAGCACACTTCAAAGGCATCAATTCTTCTTCTGTCATCCTTAGTCATTGTCCAACTCTCAGATGCACAGCAGGTGATAGGAAAGACCTAACAGCATTGCTTTTCAATAATTTAGAGAGGTCCCTGACTGCAGAGTGCAGTCTGAGACCCCCAAATTAAGAAGGTATTAAAAATTCAAGGTAAGCCAGAACAGTACAAAAATGGACTCACATTGTTAAATTTTGGGTTTTTTTCCTTCTAGCATTTTCTTTCTATACATATATTTCTACTATTTGGGATCATATT